CCTCATTTCTTATTTTTTTTCTTAATTTTTTCTCCTTTTTTTTCCCCCTTTTTTCCCCTTTTTTTTGGTTTTTTTTTCGTGATTTCTTCCTTTCCTCCCCTCGTTTTTTTTTCCCCTTTCTTTCCACCTTCATTTTTATCGCCTTCCTCTCTTTTCCTCACCTCTAAACTCCGCTTTTGTATTTTTTTTTCCCGGCAAAATTGATATTTCCAGACCTTTTAATTCCTCCCTTCCCCACCCTTTTTTCATCCTCCCCCCCCTTTCACCGCCTCCTCCCCGGACAGGAGGAGACGAAACAGGAAAAAAAAAAAATCTCAATTTAACAAACACATTTCTTCCTTTTTTAACCATTGAAAAACCCAAATAACAACAATACCAATAAATAATAAATATATTTCTATATAATAATAATAAATGAAGATAAAGGTGTTCTTACCTTTTGACGTCCATTTCTGTGGCATGAGTGGGAATTTTTGGGGCAGGAGAGATAAGATTTGGCTTATCTGTTTTCTGACAAATATTGTCCCGACCTGAGCGCCGTCCTTGGCCCCTCGGGGCTTCTCGAATTTTTCAATTTGCCCGGAAAAAGGTGAAATTTCCCCCTCTCCAAAAAAATAAAAACCCCCGGTGGTGCAGGATTCCCTCTTCCCTTCCATTCTCCCTGAGATTCCCCCAAAAAAATCGCCCGGGTGAGGTGGGAGGGGAACGGGATTGGGGGGGAAAAGGAGTGGGAATTATAAAAAAAAAATTAAAAAAATAAAATTAAAAAATATTTTTTTTAAAAAAAAAAAATATATATATTAAAAATATCGATTAAAAATGTATTAAAAATATTTGAAAAATTACCCTTCCTCCCCCCCAAAAAAATATATATATGAAAAATATTTGAAAAAATACCCCCCAAAAAATACTATATAATTTTAAAAAATAGATAAAAATAGATAAAAAGATAAAAAATATATAAAAAATATAAAAAATATATAAAAAATATATAAAAATATATTAAAAATATATAAAAATATATTTAGAAATATAATATATAAAAAATATATATAAAAATATATAAAAATATATATATAAATATATCTAAAAAATATATAAAATATATATAAAAATATATATAAAAATATATCTAAAAAATATATAAATATATATAAAATATATATAAAAATATATATAAAATATATATATAAATATATATAAAAATATATATAAAATATATATAAAAAATATATATAAAAATATAAAAAATATATAAAAATATATATAAAAAATATATAAAAAATATATAAAAAATATTTGAAAAAATACCAAAAAATTACGATATCATCAAATAAAAATAAAATTTCAAAAAACAGGGTAAAAGTGTGTGGCCAGGCGGGCAGGAGCGGTGCCCAGGGGTGTTTGTGGGTGCTCGCTGACGCTCCCCCCCCTCCCCTCTGCCCCGGTTTTTTAGCCCTGCCGAGCTTATACACAAAAAAAAGTTGGGAAAAAAAAAAAAAATAATAATGTAAAGAGAGGGCGAGAGCCCTACAGAGGACACTGATCCGACCCAAGGTGCAGCGGACAGAAGAATGGTGCAATATAACCACATGGGAAATAATAAAAAGTTCATGTTCACGGTTAGCAGTCCACATGACCGGCTCTGGCCAATCCCAGAACCCAGCCACTCATAAAGTTCTATCACAAAGTTGTAAATTTTCATAAAACAACAAGGAATTTATTGCATTTCTTCATGACCGGTTTAACAGCAGTCTTTTTCTTAGCCGCCATCTTTTTTTTTTATATATATATATATTATTATTATTATTATTATTATTATTATTATTATTCTTAATTTGGATTTTTTTTTCATTTGGATTTTTTTTAATTTGGATTTTTTTTTTAATTTTATTTTTTTTTTATGAACAAAAAAATATATTTAGGGGGATAAAAATATATATATTAAAAAAGGGGGGTTCGGGGATATTCGAATTATTTTTTTTTTCACATCACCCCATCCTCAGCTTGGAGTTGGGGGGTGGGGAGAGGGGATAAAAAATGGATATTTTGGAACAATAAAACCCCCCCAGAATAAAGAGCTGGAGCTTGGGGTCGCGTTGAAAAGGGGGAAAGCGCAGTGAAACACCGGGGTTCGCCCCGCTTTTGGGCTCAATCCCCCCTTTTTTGGGTCAAAATTGGCACTTTTGAGGCTGGAAGGGGCAAAAGGAGGCGGAATGGGGATTTTTTTTTAGGTTGAAATGAGGTTTTGGGGGTGAAATAAAAGCAGGAAAAGCGCGGTTGGGGATGGAGAGGGGTTTTGGGGAGGGGTCCCCGCTGCCAAAGCCCCCCCGGGACCCCTCGGTGTCCCCTCGGTGTCCCCTCGGTGTCCCCGGGGGTTTTGGGGTTCCCAACGCTCCCCCCCTGCCCCATTAAATTAAATTAAATCCCGTTTTTTGCCCATTTTCCCTGGAATTCTCCTGGATTCCCGCTGCCCCCCCCAAGGGGTCCTGCCCGGGGGGGGGATGGGAGCAGCTCCAGGGGTCCAGGAGAGGGAGAGAGAGGGGAAAATTCTGGAATCTCTTTTATTTTTCTCTATATTTATTCATTTCCACCCCCCCTCCAAACCCCTTCCTCAGCCTCGGGGCTGCAGAGATGGGAGGGGGAGGTAAAAAATTTGAAAAAAAATGGAATTTTTCCCCCTTTTCTCCTGGATTTTCCCCCCTCCAAATGGGAATTTCGGGATGTTTTAAATAATTCGGGATTCCCATCACCGGGGAGCGCCAGGAGGGAATTTGGGGGCGCTCAGAACCCCGAGGGGGCGCTTGAATTTTTGGGGGGAGAGGAAAAAAAAACCCCCCCCGAGGGCAGGAAAACATCTGGGGGTGGTGGGAGGTGAGGAAGGAGAGGAGCTGCCACCGCCAAATCCTCCCAGAAAACCCAGAATTGGGGTTTTTTTGGGTTGATTTTGGGGTTTTTGGGGTGTTTTTCTGTTCATGTTTTTGGGGGTTTTATTTGGGTTTATTACGGTTTTTTTTTTTTTAATGTGTATATATGGTTTATTATTATTATTATCATTATTATTGCTATTATTAGTACTATTACCATCACCATTATTAATTTTTTAATTATTATTTTATTTATTTAATTATTTTATTTATTTAATTATTTTATTTATTTAATTATTTTATTTATTTAATTATTTTATTTATTTAATTATTTTATTTATTTAATTATTTTATTTATTTCATTATTTTGCTTATTTCATTATTTTACTTATTTCATTATTTCGCTTATTTCATTTTTTTTATTTAATCCATTGTTTTATTTAATTCATTATTTTATTGATTTAAATTTTATTTTTTTAATTTTTTAATTTTTTAATTAATTTTTTTTTTTTTTTTAATTTTCTTTCCCTCTCCACCTCCCGGAATAAAAATCCCGAGCATCCTCCTTTATCCTCAAAAGAAATAAATAAATCAACAAACAGGGCGGGGAAAAGGTGGTGGTGGAGGGGGGAGAGGCTCAAACGTTTAAATTTCCTCTCCTTTTGTTTTCCCCGCTTGATTCTTATTTTTTTTTTATTTTTTTTTTTCTTCTTCTCCTCCTTCCTCTTCCCCGGCGTTTAATTGCTTTAATTAATTTTATTCGCGCTTTGATGCTTGATGTTATTTGGTGTTAATGAAAGGGCGGAGGGAGAACCTGAAAAAGAAAATAAGAAATAAATGAAATGGCCAAAGGAGCGGAGAAATGGAGCCAAATTACGAGAAAAATTAAAGCGAGGTGCGGGAAGGTTTTTAATTTTTTTAGGGAGATTTTGGGGTTTTTTTTCAATTCCTCTTTTTTTTTTTTGAGTTGGTTTTTACCTCGCTCAGAAATAGGGAGAGGAAACAGAGCCCAGCCCGCATTTCCAGAACCCCGAAATTCAATTATTTCTCAGGATATTCGCCAAATCTCCCCCAAAATTCACCGATATCTTCACGGGATTGGCCGCCCCAAAGGAAAAGCAGAGAAATTTGGGTGATAAATCGGGATAAAAGGAGATTTCATCGCCTTTATTTCAAATCCAGCCCAAAAAAAAACTTGTTTTTAATAAACCCAAGAGGAAAGCACCCAACGCTCCGGGGATTATTGGAGATCTCCTCTTTATTTCCAAGAATAATAATCACAGACAAAGGAAAAAATAATAATAATAATAATAATAATAATAATTAATAATAATAACAAAATAGCAACGCGCTGCCATTAAATAATTTGCTACTTTGATATACAACATTTGACGTGGCACAATATTAATTCCTCTTCTTTTTTTTTTTTCTTATTTTTTATTATTTTTTTCCCCATTTTTTTTTTATCCCGTAGAGGCTCCGACAACGAAGGTAAAAATATCCACAGAGACAAAAAGAGCATCGCAAGGAGAAAAGAACCACAGAGGTTCCAGGGGAGGAAGGAGGAATAATAATTCTTATTATGTACAGGACTCTACGAGCTAAATTTAATTTGCATTCAGGCTTTTCGGGTCACATTTTTCTAAATTAAAGGTGCTAAACACGACCACGTTATTTCAAAACCCCCCCCCCAAAAAAAAATAAAATATTCCCCTCCCCCCAAAAAAAATTAAAAATAGAATACACAGCGAAGTACAAAGGGAGATTTTACAAATTTACTGGTGCTAGAGGAAGGCTCACGTAGGGAAATAAAATGTGTCTATCCCGAGTCTAAAGCCACATTTAATAGGTAGATATTCTATTGTACAAAAAAAAAAACGACCAAAAAACAACAACAACAAAAAAAAAATGACATTTTAATATAGGTAGTATTTTTTTTTTTCCTCAGTGTCATCAAACACAACGCATCGCTCCTAGGGGTTTAATTATTAATGCGCTTATCATTTATTTTTATATATAGTCTTTTTTTTTTTTTAATTTATTTCATTTTTTTCACCCCATTTTTTAACTTTTTTTTTTTTTTTTCTCCTCGCTCCTTTTTTTTCCCATTTTTTTTTTTCCTTTCTCCTTTTTTTTTTTTCACTCCTCTTCATCCTCCTCGGCGTCCGCTTTCTCCTGCCCGCCGGAGCCGGGGCAGGAGGTTTTATTTTCTTTTTTCCACTTCATGCGGCGGTTCTGGAACCAGATTTTGATTTGCCTCTCGCTCAGGCAGAGCGCGTGGGCGATCTCGATGCGTCTCCTCCGGGTCAGGTAGCGGTTGTAGTGGAATTCCTTCTCCAGCTCCAAGGTTTGGTACCTGGTGTAGGTCTGGCGGCCGCGTTTTCTGTCCGTTCCTGCCAAAAAAAACCCCAGATTTGGGTCAGTTCAGAGCGTTTTGGGAGGCTTTAATTCGGGTTTTTTTTGCCTTTTTGTGGCGCGGATCAAGAGCTGCGCCACCGGAGGAAGAACCCTGCGAGACCCGGGATGAAATTTTAATTATTTTTTGGAGGATTTTCCTTCTTTTTTGAGGTTTTTCGCAGCCCCCAAAGGAGCCGAGCTTTAATTTCCCCTCGTCCCGGTCGAGCCTGGGAGCGAACAACAAAGTTCACAAAGTTTCCTGCCCCGGCCAGACTGGCGAGTTCCTGCCTCAATTTTCACCCAGACACCAGAAATTTGGGATATTTTGGGTGGAAATGAGAGAGGAAACGCAGCCGGGGAGAGGCAGAGACATCTTCAAACCTCCACAAATCCAAGGGTTTATCCTCTCCTAAAGCTGGCATCACCGGGATGCCCCAGGTGAGGGAGGATTTTAATCCTTCCAGGGAATTTGGGGCATTTTGGGCATTTCTGGGGCTCTCGGAGGGGTTTTTCCCCCCTTCCCCTGGCTGATTTTTTTATTTTTGAGGATGAGGATGTGAAGAGCTCGCCAAGCTGGCCACCAGCAGGGCTTGGAAAGGGCCCAGCTCCTGATTTTCCCCCTCCACCCGACATTTCCTGGATTCCTGATTGGGGAATTATTCTACAATCTGCTGTTTGTGATCTCTCGGTGTAAAATCTGCGCGGATCTGGCGTGGAACGCGTTCCTGCCCTGGAGCAGCAGCCCCCGGCCTCTCTCCTCCACAAATCCTCTCCTTTTTCCCCTTTTTTCCCCTCCCAAACTCGACCCCCTTTTCTCTCGATTTTTTCTTTTTTTTATCTCTTGAAGAAGAAAAGATTCAGTCATTAAAAGGGGGAAAAAAAAGAAAAAAAGAGAAAAAAAGAGAAAAAAAAGAGAAAAAAAAGAGGAAAAAAAAAGAGAAAAAAAAGAGAAAAAAAGAGAAAAAAAGAGGAAAAAAAAGAGAAAAAAAAGAGAAAAAAAAGAGAGAAAAAGGGGAAAAAAAAAAAGAGAAAAAAAAGAGAAAAAAAAAGAGAAAAAAAAAGAAAAAAAGAGAAAAAAAGAGAAAAAAAGAGAAAAAAAGGGGAAAAAAAAGAGAAAAAAAAGAGAAAAAAAGAGAAAAAAAGGGGAAAAAAAAGAGAAAAAAAAAGAGAAAAAAAAAGAGAGAAAAAGGGGAAAAAAAAAAAGAGAAAAAAAAGAGAAAAAAAAAGAGAAAAAAAAGAGAAAAAAAAGAGAAAAAAAGGGGGAAAAAAAAGAGAAAAAAAAAGGCAAAAGAGCCCGGGTTAAGCTGTAAAGTAAAAATGTGCAGGTCGTGGAATGCGGGTTGTAAAATCCGCCGAGGGGAGAGCCATAAAGCGCTGAATGGGGATGACAACTCAATCTCTGCTCGAAATTCCACCGGCGGCATCGGAACAGGAAGGGAAAGGGGGCCTGGAAGGGCGGGACCCCCTTTTTTACCCCCCAAGTGGAGTTTTTTTCTGCTTTTAGGCTCAGCTGATCTCAGAACATTCAGGTTTTTTTTGATGTTTTGGGTTTTTTTTTGAGGTTTGGTCTCTTTCCAGCGCTGATCCTCGCAGCGTCACACGGGATGAAGGAGGAGAGGGTAGGGGGGCTTCTTAAATCTGAAGTGGGATAAAAGCAGAGATGAAGTGTTTACGACCAGAAATATTTGGTCTTTGATAAATCAACTGTAAAAGCGGATGAGTTATGGAGCAGGTAATGGAAAGAACTGACCACCGAGGAAGTGCGAGGGAAACTCCTGCCTTCACAATCCGCTCTTTTCCCTCTTCCCTGCGCTTCCCAGCGAGGCCGGGCCGCGCTCCTGAGGAGCTCGCCCGGATTTTTCCGCCCCTGGAGAGCCGGGATGATGCTCCGGGGTGGCGGTCTGGCTTGGGAAGGGGGTGCCCGCGCTGTGCCCCCCGCTTCTGGGTGGGACAGCATCGCCTTTCCCCCTCTTTTGGGGTGCGAGGAGCCCCACGAGTGGTCATGGACACCTCCATCAGCCCCACGAGTGGTCATGGACAGCTCCATCAGCCCCACGAGTGGTCATGGACACCACGATCAGCCCCACGAGTGGTCATGGACAGCTCCATCAACCCCACGAGTGGTCATGGACACCACGATCAGCCCCACGAGTGACCTCAGACACCTCGATCAGCCCCACGAGTGACCTCGGGCATCTCCATCAGCCCCACGAGTGGTCATGGACAGCTCCATCAGCCCCACGAGTGGTCATGGACACCTCCATCAGCCCCACGAGCGGTCATGGACACGGAACAGGAGGGGCGAGCCCGGTGTGGAGCTCCCAGCCCGGCCCCGGAGCGCTCCGGGCAGCCCGGGGGGAGCGGGACCGCCCCGGGACCCCTCCAGAGCGGGAGGAAAGGGATATTTATTAATTTTATTAATTGTTAATTGACGTTAATACCCCGAGACGGAGCGGGGCGGGCGCTGAAGGCAGCCGGGAGGGTCGGGATGTTGCGGGGCAGCCCCCGGAGCCCCCCCAGCTCCAGCAGGGCCGCGCTGAGCACCCCAAAAGTGCCTTCCGTGAGGGTTTGGGGACAGGGGAACCAGTTTGATCCATCCATCCATCCATCCATCCATCCATCCATCCATCCATCCGTCCATCCCTCCACCCGCCCCTCCCTCCATCCCCATCCCGGCCGGGCTGTCAGCGCTGGGGGTGCGGGATTTTTGGGGGTTTCTCAGGGGGCAGGGAACGATGCGCTGCCTCTCCCGACACCGCAGCGCTCGGGACACCGCCAGGGGCTCCCGGGTGAAGCTTCGGCCGCCTCAAAGGAAAACAAGGCGAGCCCTCAAAGCACCTCCCATCATCAAGAGTTTCACCCCCCGCTCCCCGGCTCCATCTGTGGGTCTGCACAGCCTCCAGCCTGGAAGTTCAGGAGGAGAAGAAGGGGCTGGCCGCGATTCCTGTGCCTCCGTCTGTCCCCTCCGAGACAAACCGACGCAGCCCCGATGAATATTTCAA